CACCACGTGGACCCTGTGGTTGTGGTGGTGACCTGTTATAACTCTTTATAGTCAAAAACACACACAAAATCTATTCACTTTACATTTAGTGAAATGTAAATATTTCTGTTGACATCAAAAATATTAATTTGATAAATCATCATTTTTGATAGCAACCAAACTTCTAATCAGAAAAAGTTCAAAGGTACACGAATACTACTACTACTAATACCACTACTAATACTACTACTCCACACACACATGGATCTCTGTTAGAGGTTGACAGTTATGACAGTGATGAATAAGAACAAATCCAGCATTGATTCTCTCCCTCGTGTTCTTCACAGAGGTCGTATTTAATCATCGCTTACAACATACATGTAGGAGTTATAACCATGACACAAGGGACGCTGGCTTGGGTCACATGATACCTGCAACCCCAAGAACAAAGGTGTGTTATTGTCTAATGTTTGCAATGTACCTGCTGGTACAACTTATGCAGCTGATGTTCATTTAAAAACCATCAGAGGTTCACCTCGGGCCGTCCACCATCTGATGTTTGCCGTTGCTTCTGTACTCTGATGCTTCTTTGCAAACTGCAGGTGTTCTGGACGATATCCGTATCGTCCTCCACTGCACCACCGATCTGACTATTACTGAATAAGTTCAACATGTGTCCACGTGACATTTGCATGTGTGTAGCCGTGTGCACCAATGGGGTTGTGTTGATTAGCCTCCACGAGGGGATTGGTGGCTGGAGGTCAGCAGGTCACACAGAACTCCTCTCAAAAGGCCCCCGTGTTGCAGCAGGAGGGACGTCTGAGGAAGAGATGGCTGCCATGACGGGTCTCGTCCTTCTGCTGTGGGCCGGTGAGTCTGCTGCTGCTTCCTCTCAGCGTCTCTCTGCTCCATGGAGCTCTCGTGTTACTCACATGTTCTCCGTGTGGTCTGCAGGTTCTTCAGGGACGACTTTCATCTCTGCTGGTTTCTGACTTTCAGACGTTTGATTCTTGAGTCTTTCTTCTTCTTCCTACACGTGAAGCCTTTTATAGACAGTAGTGTAACAGGGGGACATTGTGTCTGTGCTGGAGACAAAGACAGAGAGACACTTACTCACTGTCTTCTTTTCCTCGTCTCCACCTTTTATGTTGAGCGTGTTCCCCTCTGGACTAAATGACCCATCACATCTGCTAACATCTGGCTTTTGTCTTCAGTGAGAAGCTGAAGAAGGAATCAGCAGCAGTAACGTTGGGCCTCATAGACACTGGTCTTTCATTCTGTACGACTGGTATCTGCTCACCACCAGTTTCAGTAACAGCACCTTCAGATGACGTGAAGACGCAGTTTGTCCGTCGTGAGCTTCCGTAGAGACATGGCGGTGCCACGTGGTGGACTCGCTGTGATAGAACTGATCAATGGCTCATTTAAAGCCACCAAAGACGTGATGGGTGTCAGCGTCAGCTCCTTGTTCACCAACGGAAACATGGTCCATCAGCAGTTACTCCATTTATACCAACCGTCCCCCACTGACTGACTGTTCTCCACTGATTACAAACACAGGACTTTGTGTTCCAGGTGTCACAGTGGCCTCACAGGTGGATCTGCACAAGAGGATCTATGGAGGTCGGGATTGTCGATCCGATGAGCGTCCGCATCATGTGGTTTTAATATCTGACAATATTACCCATGAATCCTTGTGTGGCGGCACTCTGATCAGTGATCGATGGGTTCTGACTGCAGCTCACTGCTATAACCTCGGATGGTGAGAAAGAGACAACTTCACTTTAAACTATTAAGCACATGTTTCTCACTCAGAGTCAATCTAGTGATCTGATTAATAACTACAGCATTCACACTATGACAACTGCATTAATGATGTTATTGTAATTAATATTATACTCAAATGTATCCATGACGGCTCAGTGATGTTTCTCTGTATTTTTACTCATTTGTAGGACGTTAACAGCAATTTTGGGGGAACTCCGAAACCCAACGGAACGACATGACATCAGAGACCCACCTGTGTTCTTTACGCACACAGAGATAATTGAGAAACATGACATCATGCTGCTGAAGTTGCCTAAAAAAACTGCCCTACCACGGGCAGTTCTCCCTCCGGACTGTTCAGGTCATCCCAACAAGTGAGTCACAAGCTTTATTTCTTTTACTAAAAGTCAGACGCGTAACTCAAATAACCATGAAATCTTTCTAGAGAAGCTGTACTCTAGTTTTCATCTCATCTGGTCATAAAATAAATGTGGTCTAGTTTAATGTGGTCCATGAAAGAAGGATCGAGATGTGAAGCAGCAGTTAGTAGTTAAAGAGGAGCACTAGAACGTGGTAATAAATATACACAGGTGAGTGGATGAGTCACTTCCACCAGACGTCAGTAGAAACCTGGTGTGACGGTGAGGATGGAGGTCTGCTGGACAGATGTCATTTCACTGTGCTGGTTTCAGTTTATTCATCACACCATGAGGAAATACTTCCTACCACCACCAGAATACTACAGGAAATACACACATTTACTGATCAGCTGATCGTTAGAAACATCTGATGGAGATTTAACATCATTCTGCTGCTTTACAGCGGTAAGCAAGTTACTGTTGCTGGACGTTCAAGAACGAATTCAAGCTCTGGTGACAAAAAAGGTGAGATGTGTCTTGTTTATTTAGTTTATTGTGTGTTTGGTATCACTCACAAATATTTGATTAATAAAACATGTAGAACATTTGGTTAAAACTCACTTTGTCTATTTCCATCTAGTAACACTCCGTTTGGATCTAACGCTGCCCCTCCAATGCCTCGACATCAAGGTGGTCACCTGTCGTTACTGTTCCATAGACACCAAATATGTGTATCCAAATGTATTCTGTTATGAAGAAGCTGGAAAGGACACCACTGGAGTGAGTCGTGTGTCTTCTAACTTCATATCTTTTCTGAAGTCATTACAAAAGCTTCTAACAGTTCATTATAAAAGAGCATTTCTGTCATTTACACACAAAGGTATTTTAATAAAGTATCTCCATCTGTTCCACAGGGAGACTCTGGAGGTGGAGTGATGTACGGAGGCAAACTTTATGGGGTCCATGTATTAGGTGGTACGAAGCTCTGCACAACACAAGCTACAGCAGTGAAGGTCTGTGAGAAGATCTACTTGGATTGGATCAAGAAGACGACTGGAATCCAAATACCATGACATGAACAAGTAGCATGATCTTTACTTTAACATGTTCTGTCTTTAACAGGAATTTCATCAGCATTCAGAAAATTGTTGAGTTACTCTGAGTTTGCTATTAATAATAATTAATACATATAGCATTGATTAAATGTTTGTAAAGCCCTTTAATACAAATAATAACTGTCATTCTATGACTTTATTTATTGTCCTGTCTGAATTATAAGTCTTAGTTTACACATTAATAATAATTAATAATAATCAAAATGTATCAAAACACGTCTGTAGATTTTAAATATCTGATTTTACAGTAATTTTACTGGAGGAAAACAGCCCCAAACATAATAGTCTGCTGTCCTTTCAACAATATTGATCATTATTGCAATAATGTCTCCTCTTGTACAATCTGGTCAGTTTGAATAAAATGAAGATGACTCACAAATGGTTGTTTTTGTTGTCAGTGTCAAAGAAAAGACACACAAACTCATTTTCTGTGATGTTTAAATCCCCTCTGATCAATATGTCCGATCAATACAGCAGCAGCGGCACAGGAGGCGTCTTCGTGGAGACTTTTGGACGACTCGTCTGGTTGTTCTTCAGCTCTTTAACGTCACCACGTTAATTCTCTTAATGACAGATTAACAGAATTAATAGAACAAATACATTTTCTGTCAAAGTCACAAAGTTCATCTTTATCTACGTAACAAAAACATATTTCACCAACAAACGAGCAGAGACAATTATTCATACTTCAAGAATCACATTTTTATCTTATTATGTAGAAGTAAATTATTTTTGTTTCTCACTAACATGAATATTATCAACAAACACGTTTGAGACTAAATTAATTATGGATTTGATAAATAAGTGTGTCAGTAAGTGTGAGCAAAAGATAAAAGGTGGAGGAGGAAAAGAAGACAGTGAGTAAGTGTCTCTCTGTCTTTGTCTCCAGCACAGACACAATGTCCCTGCTGTTACACTACTGTCTATAAAAAGCTTCGTGTTTAACAGGAAGGCAAATTGTTCCTTTACGCCTTTGATTGTGTAGTTTATTGTCTGCAAAGAGACAACAACACTCAAGTTAAATCCACCATCAGCAGACATGGTGTGAGGTACTGAAAGGAAACCAAACATGTGGCTGCTGTCAATCAACACAGCTGATTTAGTAACATGAGGACGAGTCGGCCTACAGGTGGAGTCTGACCATCTGGTGTCGTGGTGCAGTCAGAACAACCTGGAGCTCAACGCTCTGAAGACAGTGGAGATGGTTGTGGACTTCAGGAGGAACAGAGCCCCACCCTCCCCCATCACCCTGTGTGACTCCCCCGTCACTATTGTGGAGTCCTTCCGTTTCCTGGGCTCCATCATCACCCAGGACCTCAGGTGGGAGCTGAACATCAGCTCCATCACCAAGAAGGCTCAGCAGAGGTTGTTCTTCCTGAGGCAGCTGAAGAACTTCAACCTGCCAAAGACGATGATGGTCCACTTCTACACGGCCATCATGGAGTCCATCCTCTGCTCCTCCATCACCGTCTGGTACGCTGCAGCCACAGCCAAGGACAAGGGCAGGCTGCAGCGTGTCCTCCGCTCTGCAGAGAGGCTGATCGGCTGCAATCTGCCGTCCCTGCAGGACTTGTTCGCTTCCAGGTCTCTGAAGCAGCTAAAAAGATGGTAGCCGACCCCTCTCACCCCGGACAAAACCTGTTCGCTGGTGCACTTTTTTTTTATTTTTAAACATTTTTAACTTTAATTCCTCTATTTTTAAACAAACTCATAGCATTATATTTTTATTTTATTACTACTACTATGTTGTCTTGTCGTCCATTGTCGTACTGTCTGCTGTTACGCACCAACCACCAAGTCAAAATCTGACATATTATAGCAACAAATGTTTCCTGATTCCTGAACACGCAGTAAAAAGAGAAACCTGCTGACCTTCTGAACTCAGTCTGAGATGTTCCAGATGAATTATGATCTTGAGGCACATTCATTCATTTTTATGAAGAATAAATCCTTTAACTTGTTGCACCAAAGTAAACAGCTGTAACAGCTGGAGCTTTTGATGATTGACCGACTTCTTTGATCAGATCATTGATCGTAGCATTGATCACATGATCAACCAATGAAGACAGGCTGGTGACGTAATTGTGTTTAATAAACAGATCTCATTCCAAATGAATATTCATTCTCACTCAGCAGGAGACGCTGTCATATTTCATTTAAAATACACCAATGTCCATCAGATCACGTTTAGATATACACAGTACACAGGAGTACTAGGTGCTGATAGGTAGTGGAGGTAGCAGTAGTCGTGGTAGAAGCACCAGTAGTGGTAGTGGTATTAAGATATGTTACGTCCTGGGCCTCAACTCGCCCCGCCAACACCTCCCGGGGAGACGGATCGAGCGTCTGCTCCTTTGTGGGTTTTGGGGATTAGAGTGGAGAGCGTGATGGAGATCTCTAATATAATATAAAGTTGTATGTTCTTTGTCTTCCTTTCTCCCATTTTAGTTTTAACGTTGTGTTTTGCATTTCTTATTTGTGCAGGTTGAAAGAAAGGTTTGACATTCTCTGCTTCTATGAAGACAAGTCAGAACTTCTTGTGTAAAGGCTGCTTCCTCTGTAGTGACCAGCAGGGGGCGACTCCTCTGCTCCCATAGACGTCTATGAGGAAATGACTCTACTTCTCTGTAGTGACCAGCAGGGGGCGACTCCTCTGCTCCCATAGACGTCTATGAGGAAATGACTCTACTTCTCTGCAGTGACCAGCAGGGGGCGACTCCTCTGCTCCCATAGACGTCTATGAGGAAATGACTCTACTTCTCTGTAGTGACCAGCAGGGGGCGACTCCTCTGCTCCCATAGACGTCTATGAGGAAATGACTCTACTTCTCTGTAGTGACCAGCAGGGGGCGACTCCTCTGCTCCCATAGACGTCTATGAGGAAATGACTCTACTTCTCTGTAGTGACCAGCAGGGGGCGACTCCTCTGCTCCCATAGACGTCTATGAGGAAATGACTCTACTTCTCTGCACTGACCAGCAGGGGGCGACTCCTCTGCTCCCATAGACGTCTATGAGAACATTACACACATTCCATAAATCCTCCACGGAGCTCTGGTGGAAGACGTTGTTCACCGTGGACACGTGCACGGTGGGCTTCTTCTGACCACAGGCTCGCTGTCAGACCCCCTGCAGGGACCATTTTACAGGATGCAGGTGTTAAAGGAGTCGGGTCAGTTTTTTCCCTTTTTTGTGTGAAAGTAGAAGTTGACATGGAGGTATGAGGTGACGACATGAGCCCAAGTACAGAATGCAACCCAGTGCATTATGGGTAGTGAGGCTTCAGGTATGTGTTCTGCTACATTTGTACCAGTAAATGAAAGGATATAAAGTTTAACACCAGCTGGGTTAACGGTGAATTCTCTATTTTATTCATTTAAGGCTGACAGATGTTTAACCACAGAGGCAGCTCATGCCTTTTGTTTTAAAGGGGTTGTGATGTCAGAGCTCGATAAATGTTCACGGGTTCCATCAGCTGGAACCGTTTGTCACGCAGACAGACCTCTATGCACGTGAAGACCTTCGTGCGTAAAGAGAAAGGTGAGGTGCGTGTGGACTTCATGTAATATGAGCGTAACTCCACTTCACTGCACGCTGATCAACAGCAAACACCTCAAATCGATCAAAAATGGATCCAATTTATTACAAAGTGCTTCACTCACAGAAGAAATGAGCAATCTGACCATTTAAAGATGCATGTGGCGAGAAGGAGCTGCAGCGGTTTATTCTGCAGAGGCCGAGGCCGAGGCCGGCCTCTGGAGGTCAACAAGGAGGAGGAGAAACCAGGTGACGCTTATCAACCAATCAAAGGCCTCCAAGAAGAGAAAAGCCTTTTAGATTCTCATAGTGTAAATCAACTAAATGCGGCGCTCACTTTCTTCTTGTAACTCTCCTTAAGAACATCACAGGTTTTGGGATGTTGTCTCCCTGCGTCTCCGGGGGCAACCGATGAGGTCACCCGCTGTGCGTCCTCACTCGGGGACGACTTGTCCAATCCACTTGAGGTAGGGCGGGTTCCCCTGGTCGATGGGCAGGCTGATGACCTCGGCCACCTCGTAGGGATGGTTGGACCTGGGGAGGACACGAAGTACATATAACACACATACATAGTAAATATATATAGAATTATACTCTGTGAGCTAACGGAGCCACGCAGTGTTTTCCTGCAGCACGAACCTACCGGACGTATTCAGCCAGAGCGGGCACCTTGGAGCTTCTGGTTTTGATCATCTGGACGGGCGACAGGAGGACGTGTCAGACACACACACACACACACACACACACACACACACACACACACACACACACACACACACACCACTTTTGTTCCCCAATAGATTGATAAGGAAGAAGACTCGTCAGGGATGCTGCTCACGGGGAGGGGGGCGGTCACCAGTGTAACCATGGTAACGCAGCGACGTCTGGAGGCTCGGAGGGGTTGTGAGGTCAGTGTTTGGGTTGTTGTGTTTTTGGGGGTGTGGTTTAACAGCGTCAGTGGCCAATAGAGAGGCCCGACCTGACAGGGTTCATCGTCTTCTACTTAACAGCGACCAATCAAAAGACGCCTCAACTGGCGGATCATCTGGTGTTACGCTTTATTTAGTACCCAAGAAGTAGATGTAGACACACAAAACACACAATTCATCCATCCACGTCAATCAAGTGTTCGCGAGGATAACGATAGAACTCCAGTGTTCATCCTGCAGCAGGTATTACTGTAACTATAAGTACAGGAAGTAGAAGTAACAGATCGTAGCATCTGAAGTGATGAGAATTCACCACAAATAGGATTCATCCTTCAGAGGCAGAGATGGAAACACTCACCAGCAGCACCTCAGTGTCCTCCTCGATCTTACCCTGCCACTCATATCTGAGGGGACAACACAGGACAAGCAATATATATATATATATATTTATATATATATATAAAATGTATATATGATTTCGAACAAGGCCAAAGAAAACCTCCTGGCCGACGGTCGATGACTCACACGGACGTGATGGCGGGGACGATGTTGACGCAGGCGGCCAACTTCTTTTCCACGATAGCCCTGAGGGACAGAAGACGACGACGTCATTACGGTCCAATCAAAGGACTCCCTCACTGCGCCACACGCGTTTAACCCAGAGTCACCTGGCCAGGTCTTTAGCCACGGCCTCGTTGGGGCAGGTGACGAAGGCGGCGGAGTGAGTGCCCGGCGCGTACGTCTCAGACGCCATGGAGAAGGCCCTCGGTCCAACGGCCCTCAGCAGCGGGAGCGCCAGCACGCTCAGGAGCGCCGTCTGGAGTCAGGAGGGGGGGGGGGAGCGGATGAGACGCAAAGAGGAGGGGAGGGAGGGGGGGGGCGCTGAAGAACTGGTTCCAACGCTCACCACAGCCACGGCTTTCAGGGGTCCACCTCCGCAGCGTGTCGGCGCCGAGAGGAGCCAGGGTCCGTTCACCGAGTCGGACCC